GATCTCTTTGGTGAAGACCCTGATGCTGGCAAAGGTTGAGGGCAAAAGGAGAAGAGGACGGCAGAGGATTCGTTGGTTAGATAGTATCACTGAAGCAATGAGCATGAAACTGAGCAAACTCAGGGAGGCAGTGAAGGACAGGAAGGCCTGGCGCAATATGGTTCATGGGGTCACGAAGAGTCGGACACGACTTAACGACTAAACAACAACAAGAAGCAAGGTCCTTATCTAACACTGAAAGGTGGATAATAGCCTCCAGGGGATGGGTTGTGCAGCTGGGAGCCATGACAGAGAAAACCCTATCTCACATAACACCCTTCTTGTACCCATGAGATGCTGAGGATGCTGTCATGCCCCCTCAACATTTGGACAGGTATATACTCCTTCAAGTATCAGAGTCTAAACCATTAATCAATATTACAGCAACCTTGAACTCCAACCAGCAAGATGAAAGAACCCAGTTCAATTCTTGTAAGACCAGTATTATGTGGCCTCTGAAGGGTCTTCTGAATAATAGCCTTGCTACTGCATTCTGCACTAACTTCAGCTTCTGAATTACCTGCAAGGACAGGCCAACAGAGCGCGTTGCAGTAATCCAGATGAGAGAATACCAGAGCATAGACTACTTGTTCTGCAGCAGTAACTGTTAAATGTATTATCTTCAGCCCTTCCTTTCATGCACTGTCTTAAATGTTATTTTAAAATTCTGGTCTGTAGTCCTCCTCTCAGTGATAATCCTGTCCTGTTCAACTTTTATTACCTTGCTTCTTGATTCCCATCTTGATAATGTGCAGTTGTTTTCATTTCTCCCTAACTACCTGGAGGTTTTATTAGCCCCAAATAAGAAAATGTTACCTTTCCTGTTCAGTGATTAATTTGTATAGAGTGGAAATTTCAAAATATATTATTTTCTATATATCCTGATGTCCAGTCCATCAGGGCAAAGCATGTAAAAAAACTGTTGTAAACACACACTTTGATTCTGTTCTCAAGTACAAGTTTCCTAATTCTAAGGAAATCAAAGGATTTGAAAGACAAAAAAGTCTATATGAAATAAAAATGACATAGTAAATATGATTTAAAAACCATAGTATATATTGCCTTATTCAATGTGTTATTCACATCCTAGGGACTGCTTTTTGCAGGCAGTTATTAAATGTCTATGGGTTGATGAGGGGTTACAAAATGTGCCAGGCTAATTTGGACTTTTAAGTACCTGTCTCCAGCTTTTTTCTACTAGGATCAGATTTGTAAGCTTTATTTTTTATGGATACATTTACTAGTAACTGATGCCAATTGTAAATACAGTAGCAGGCAAATTTGGCTGTTTCAAAATTGTAGTTAATGTTTTAACTACATGGTGTAGTTAAATCTCCAAAATAATTTTATTATGTTTTATGTTGTCTTAACTTAGTGAACATATTTAGAAAGGAAGTACAGATATAAGCTGGTATCTGGAGATAAGAGAGAGGCCTCTTGCATCTTACAGATTGACTGCCCACTCTCCCCTCCAAATGTTGTTAAAAGACTAGTGCATATAGGGTCATAAATAATTGTCTTGTATTGGAATTACAAGATTTCAAACAGGAGTCTTTCCCAGCCTGCCTTGGAGATTTCCATGTGTTCTGCCTTTGTCCTGTGGCTTTTTAGAACTGTGATGAGAAACTAAATTATTTTAGCCTGCTCAGATGAATGGGGATGGGGTATAGCTCAGTCAGTAAAACCCATTTAATAATTATGCATTCAGTATGTTCAAAACTTACCTGCTTTATTATGAAGTAATTTCAAATATACACTGAAGCTTGCAAAAGCAAAGATATAACCAGGAATGCTACATTCTGTGTAGCTAACCTTTTGTAACTTTCTTGTGTAATACTAACCGCATGCTGTATTCTGCATGTCTTCTTGGTTGTTGAAATAGGCAATGTATCAGCAACACAAAGATTGGATTCTGCTACAGTAAGAACTTATTCATGTTAAAGACTTTCATTGGTAAGTAAAAGTGATACACTGATGAACAACGTACATTTACTATGTTTAAAGTTTTATTCCAATGACTATCTGTGGCATGTTGAAGATCAGGATGACTGGAATCTATTGTGTAATATTATGTAATATTCAGAGTCATGAATTTAGAAAGCAGTTTGCAGATTACACAAACCAATCACCATTCCTGTCATCTAGTCCAACTTCCTGCACAGGGCAGGAATCCTCAGATCATCCCAGACATATAGCTATCTAATCTTTTCTTGAAAAACCTCAGTGATAGAGCACTCGTGACTTCAGGAGGCAGACTGTTCCACTGTCCAATAGCTCTTGCAGTCAGGAAATGCCTCATTTCAAGTTTGCATCTCTCTGTGTAAAGCTTCTTACCCTCGGGTGCTATGGAGAATAAATCCACACCCTCTACCTGTGACATCCTTCATGTCAAGCCTGGTCTGGACATGTACTATGGAAACTAGATGTTTTGCACACCTATATTTTGTGCAATGTAACTAGCTTACAGTGTATTTAATATAAATGCATTTGGCAGAATTTAGCTCTTGAAAGAGACAGAGGCTGAGGTGGTGACTTTCACCAGCTTCTTCTTCCCCCAAGTGTCCTGAATAGCTACTCTATTGAGGGAGTAGAGAAGGGGGAAGCAATAAAAATCATTGCCCTGACCTCTTCACAGGAAGCTTCTCCCACCCCATGAATAAAGTGGGCCTATCATTCTTAGAGCAAATCTGATTCAATCCATTATATTTATATATAGAATACAACAATTATATATTTGTTGCATAATTTATCACTAATGAGCAAAAGGCTATGAAGGGATTGTTTGATTATTGAAATTCTTGCTTTGAGGAAATACTACTATCTTAAATAGATAAGTAAATAAAGCAGCTTCTTGTTGCTGCTAAATATACTTGCTACCTCTGCTAAATATATTTTGGTGGAGGTAGCACGTATAAGAATATAGGCCACATACACCGCTTATACCATGTATGCTTTTGCTATTAAGGCAGGCTATTCTGATCCAAGCAATGTACTGTCAGACTTCCATAGAATATGCCCCAGGTATCTTAAAACACTCATTGCATCTTGATTCTTGGTGTGTCAGATTTACTGTTGATTTTGAGAGGCTGGAGACAGCTTAGAGAATGTATAGCCATTTCCTGTAGCCTGTATATGCTGTCACGTAGTAAGTGAAGCCATTCACATTGCTAGCTATCATGGGAAAGGGTGGTGAGGAGTACATTTGATCAGTTTATTCTCCACTTTCCTTTGATAAGTAATCAGACTGTGAGAGCGTTTTATTCATCTTTCTTGATTGAAATGGGGTAGATGGAGGTAACAATATTATCTGCTGTCATACTTGCTGTTCCTTGTTTCATTATACTAATGGTAATTTCCTGTGTTTTTCTTCTGAAACTAATATGTTTATTTTACTTTCAGTTTATCCTCACTATTTCTACAGATGATCTGAACCATTTTGAACTCAATGACCATATTTTGGAAACAACCGAAATCTTTAATCTGTTAATACTTGTTAAATCAACACTTTGAAATATTTTATTACAGAGTTTTTAATTAGCAGGTAAATTTGTGAGTACTATAAAGAAAGTATTTTAGATTAAATGTTTCTTATAGTTATGTGGGTGTATGTGTGCCCCATTCCTTAATTTTCTGTTAGTATTGTCTGTCAATCAAGTTATTACTATATGTTAATTTTAGTATTTTTCATCTGAATGTACTGTAATGCTTGTATGTATCTGTCCTATAAGTAATATAGGGCTTTTTGTAAATTATGCAGTTATTGTAATTATCAGTAATGGATTTTAATAAAGTGAAGGTGAAAAGAATTTCACAATCTTTGTAAAAACATCATGACACCAAGCAGTATATATATATTGCCGTTTGGAAAATGCTAGCTAGCTCTAAAAATTTAAATAATTCCTTTTTTTCAGAGAGGCATATGTTTATTAACCAAGCAGGCATGGTACCTGATTCCATTTCCGTTCAGAACTGTACCTTTTACACATAACATTTGATTATTTAGTGTGTATTCTTATTTAAGGCTTTTGTTTAGTATAATTTGCTTTACATTCTAAAATGTGGGAATTTTTAGGACACTATGAAACATGTGAGACCTAGTGTGGTCATTTATAACTACTTTTTGTGGCTGTATTTGTACAGTCTATGTTCATTGATTGAGCATAAGCAAGCCATAAGTGGAAATATTTTCTGTTAACCAAGAATAGCTACTAAGAGTACTTGACATGCAACGAAGAGTGCTCCCTTTCTGTGTTTTGATGTGAAAATGTTTGTGAAAAGACATTGATGCAGTTCTTTTAATGGACCAATCATGATGCACTGTGGCCTCTTGACAAAGATGCTGAGAGCATGACAAGTGGAGGCATGTAGTAGTGCAACTATTAAAAAGGCCTTACTTTTCTTATGTCATCTTTTAGATATATTTATAAACTTGTTTTAAAATCTGGACAGACTTTTTAGTTGTTAATAGTTTTAGTCATTGCAAACAGTATAGGTAGAAAATGCATCATTCACTTTTAAAAAGCATCTTATGAAGCCAGCAAGGAGGAGGTTCATGGCGCATTATTTATTATGCAATAATATACATGGCATGTCTTTTTTCTGTTTTTGGTTTTGGCTCTTTTTTAATTGTACAACTTAAATTCATTGTTACTATTTTTTCTATTAACCTTATATGTACCTTGGATAATGTAACAAATTATGTACAGTCTAAGTACTTTGAACTATTTTTATCACAGTATTATTTATTGCTTTCTTTCAATAAATTTCTAAAGCATTTTTTTCCACTGCCAATAAAATGCTGTTATCTTGTGAAAAGGCTTGAGGTGTTTTAAAGTGGTAATTCAGGTATTAATTCAAATGAAATTTCTTGTGACATATTCATGCTTCCCTTTGTCCATAGTAGGTATGGACAGCTTTCTTGCCACCAAAGGCTGCATCAGTAATAAGCAGTGGGTTAGGTGTCACAAGCCAAAGACTGAAAGTCAGTGTTTTTCCCCTCATGTAATCTTTACTTTGTACTATCTCTTCCAAAACCATGTAGCCTTACCCCTTTTATTCTCAAATCCACATACAGATGTACACTCAAAAGTTGTTCTTCTTTTTGCTGTACTCTTACATACTATCAATAAAAATTATTTGCTGCACTTGAGATCCCAAAAATTGTCACCTAAAAGTGAAGCAGAGAAAGCAAACATGAAGCAAGCTCAAATTTAATTCTATTTCCCATTTACTTTTTCAGTTAAAAAACACTATTTTCCTTGATATGTGTCCTCTTGCCCCTGACACAGTAGTGTCACTCAAAAATAGCAGTTAATTTGCTTTGCAAAAAAACTACAATTTGAGCCTGTCAGAAGTCCCAGTGAGATATTGACAAGCTAGGTACAGCAAACATGAACCCAACATTATTTTAAAAGTGTACATTTTCTTAGCTCTTTCCTCAGTTCCCTCTCAACATTAAATAGGCATCAAAATTACTTTTTGTTTCAAAGATAAATCATCTCCTTTGGTGACTCAGATCCAACAAATTGGCATTTGCTTCACATTCTTTACTGTCAGCCCTGCTATTGGGAATTCCAGCAGCCTATGGAGCCTTCTAGCCCTACCCTTCCCTGTGGTTCCCAAAGACCTGTACCATACTGCCAAATGTTTGTAAAATGCAAAAGTTCTGCACCATGAGTTTTGTATTTTTTTCTTCAACATGAAGGTTGTACTTTACATAAATTCATTTTGCTTTATGCCTTTGAAAGTCCAAATCCATTTCAAAATAGCATTCTAATACAAAAACATAGAAAAAAATTATATATTACTAAAACTCTCATATCTGTAACCTTCAACTGGGTGAAATGGTGCATCATAGGGCAATAATTTTTGAACCAAGGTACCTCAAATGGGCTTACAGAATGTGTCCAAAATCTGGGACCCATTACTCCCATGGGATTGAAATTTGGGAAATTTGTGGCTGCTTCAGCACTGCTGTGCTGCTGCACTGCCGTGGTCAATCCAGGTCACATGATCGTCATGGGCATATCCCCAACCTTTTCCCCACCACCTCTGTCTGCTGTGCCCAATCAGCTGGTGGCAAGGCCTGAAGGGCAAGTGGCAATAGACTGCTTTGGAAACGAGGCAGAAATTTGAAATCTCTCAATGGTTGTGGGTGTTGAGGGAAGGATGAGGGAGTGACTTGGATGCCAGCTGGCGAGGTAGGCTGGCTGGGGGGATGCTGGCAGTCAATGGATGAGCCCTCTTCCTCAAGGGAAGCGGCCCTTGGGGACACACCAGAATGAGGAGCGGGGGCGCAGTTTTCCTCATGTTCCACAGCTCCCTTTGTTCCACTTCCCCCCAGCAAAGTGGCAGGGAGTTCTGCTGGTCAGCTGAGAAGGAGGCAGCAGCTTCACCAGGGCTCTCCTGAGGGCCGTGAGGGGAGGGCAAATGGTGCAAGCCTATATTATATGTGGGAGGGAGGGAGGGAGGAAGGAAGGAAGATTCCTGACACTTCCTGCCAGCTTTCCACAAGCAAAGTCAATGAGGAAGCTGACAGGGAGTGTCAGAAATTCTTTAAGTAGAAAGATAAAATGATGAGCATGACAATTTTTTTTAAAAAGGTGGACTTCCATGTACATTATTAAACAGTTTAACACTCAGTATTTACAGAGTACATTTGTTGATACTGACTGAACACATAGTTAATTTTTCTAGGGAAGCAACTGCTTTTTTAATTACCAATTTATTTACAAGTTTATAAGTGAAGTGAAATAACTGATTAAAATTAGGACTTTTTAATTAAAGATAAATGTCAGAACAAAAAGTTGCTAAGTTTGGTCAAAAGCAAGTAATTACAATTGTACTTTATCTCAAAGCTATATTCTAAAACAATAATTGAACAGTAAACTAAAATGGTGGAACAAAATATTTGAAATTCTTGGCACAGGCAATTTTATAGGATTTGTTTCACCTTAGAAGTCAGTTGTTTGCAAATATGTAATATAATATACTGTATAAATATATAAACTGATCAAAAGATTTTGTGCTCAAGAAATTTAAAATCTGAATTTCAATAGATGTTCTCCTCTGTTATAATGATAGATACCAAGGAATTACTGTATGCATTAGAGCTACCAGATCTGGGCTCCACAAAGGCAGATGACTATCAGCAGCAAAGAAATGCTGCAAACTCAATTTTTTACTGCTCAGAATTTGTAGCTCTGGTATGCATGTATATTTTAATCTGAGTTTTAGGTATTAAGACTAAGTAATTTAATCTTTGGAGTGATCATACTGAAGCTATATATAAAATGACCAATCAGATTCCCTTTAAATAGCATCTTTTTTCTCATCATTGGGGTCCAGATGGGATAATTTCCCCTCTACCCATCCCCTAATCTGTCTTTTTGGCACAACAGCAAGTACAAACACTCATTCTGACCACAATGTTTTTGTGAGCTGCATAAATTATTGATTTCTATGCTGCTTTTTCTCCTGCTTCTCCAAAGCAGTGCACAGAAGCAAAAATAATAAAACAATATTCAATAAAACTGTTCAGTGAAATCACCTACCATAAAACTGTCTACTATAAAATAAAACAATAAAAGTAACATGCAGCAGTTTAAAATAAAATGCATTGCAAATGCCAAGATGATTACTGTATTCATATTTACCCAGACAGTTGTCATAAGCACATGAATCCCTTACAGCTGCAATCTGGAAATGATTTTTACTCTTATTTATGTTACTTTAGTAACAATTTTGATACTATAATTACCTCATTAAGCCTAGGAAGCTGTGCTTGCATAAATCAAGACTTGGGAATGACTTTTAGTTCCTTTTGATTATCCAGTCAGCCAGGTAAGTAAGCAGTGGTTGTGGCTGGAACAAATTGTGTTAACAGGCAGCCAGCTTGTGAATGTTGTGAAGTTCATTAGAGAGCAGTTCTGCTTTACATTTGCATGACGTCATTTTGCATTACATTACGTAGGCCTATCACTACATCTGATTTGTTAACATGGGAGGGACAAACAAGATCACGAAGTCCCTGCATTTCCATGGCTGAGGCCAACTGCAATTCATACTGTATATTTAGTAATAAACTTATTATACCACCAACTATCAACATTTTAAAATTATTTTTGTACCACTTCACACTGCAGAGAATCCCAGAGCAATTTACAATTCCTGAAAGTGTTTTAAAACAAAAATTGAATAAAATCTAGTGTAAAAGCAAAGACGGAAAATATGTTAAACATGTAAAGCAAAATAATTGACAGAAGTTTATAAAAAATGCCTCAAAAGGTGTATGGGGATTTTTCCATATGATGGGCCTCTTTCCTGCCCAGAACTATTTTAGCTAGTAGCTTTTCCTGCATGGATAGACTTCTGGATTCACACAGTATGCTAATCACTGTGGTTCTTTCCCCATGGTGTGTGTGCATGCAACCCAGCAACAAATTCTACTTTTAATATTGTTAATGGACTTCCAAGTTAGATTTCTAGCCACAAATACTCTATATGGTGCAGCAGAGGTTAGACTGCTTACAGGTCCTCTCCCATGACACACCTGATGTACACAGCAGCTAACCCCATCAACTTTCCTTACTGGTGTCTCTGGCAGCAACACATAATCACACTACTGGGTTATAAGTTGGCAGTTTAGGAGTTAATGGTGCCTTGCCCAGTGGAGACAGGAAATTCCTAGTACTCCATGAGCCCTTGCACCACAAGAATACTGGCAAAGCTTCACAATATCTGACTCAATAGGCAGGCAGCAATGGGTAGGGAAGGGAGAGGGAGAGAAGAAAAAATGAGTGCAGAAAGAGAACTGCCTGCAACATGTAGGGCAGTTCCCCTTGAGGCCCTTATTCTGCCAGCAAAACCTTACATTAATCCATGTGGTTTAGTAGCAAGCTGAGGGCAACTGAGAGAGTATCTACACAAGGAGAAAGGCAGTTGGGAATTTCATCCCCAGCCATGACATTCCATGCCCCTAGATGCTGAATGCCCATGACCAGGAAAACACCATGGCTCACTATATGAGGGTGGACACCTCCACGTGTAACATCACAGGCCTTGCAATGACAGAGGACTGATGTCCTGCCTGACCGCCCTCTAGGCAGTGGTTCCATCAGCCTGGTGCTCAGCTGGGCACTTTCCAATCACCTTGTGCTTCTAGCAAGCAGGCAACAATCTAGTCATCCTCAGATGACAGGCACCTTCTGGATCATCTGGACAGAGCGCTAAGTTTATCCTCCTGTATTGCATTGGTGGGGGCGGGAAGCAAACAAGATCTAAAGATGTGAGGTAGACCAAAAGTAACTCTATTCCCTTTGTCAGCCTTGAGAGGTAGCCCATACAAGAAGCACACCCAGAAGTACTACCTCTAACTTCATTGTAAGGTTACATTAACAGAATCTTGCAAGTCTGAAAGTACATCTCTCCCTCCTCACCTTTACAGTCCAAGAAACTAGGGATGGCCCCTTCTGAGATGTTTGCTATGTAAGGTTTGCCACAGAGAAACTCCCGTGACACGTGTGATTCACAAAAGAGGTTTACTCATGCGTAACGTAGCAGTCACA